TATTTCAAACAAACTACTCCAATATACTAAGAGTAACAGCAACCTGTAGTACGACACTTGTCACCTCGCCCGTATCTAATGGCACATGCACCTTTTTCTACTCATCTAACGTTCTAAGTTGCAAAATGCAAATATTGTAGGTAGCTGCACCGCCCTGCTTTTGTATCTTTGATTCATATTTAGACTTTCTAGCTATTTTTTTTTATTGGAACGCACTCGATTCAAGATTTAAATTCAATGAGTTCAAACTTAAAAATATATATATATATATATATATATATATATATATATATATATATATATATATATATGATTCCATAAACTCTTTGGATAGGAGTTGCGATCGAAGACTCTTGCTGACACAAATTATAACCTAAGCTCGGTTACTTGTTCTACCTTAGACGGGTTGCCTTTCAAAGTGTAATGAAGATTACCAACAGTAGACTCAGGGGCGGATTTATAGGCAAATACATAAGGCACGTGAACTGTGGTCTTTCCGTCAAACTAAGTATTTTATGTACATATTTTTTAGAATTGATCTAGTATTATTTGCTGGCGCCCATGCTCCAAAGAGGTTAAATAATGTACTTGGCTGAATGTTGAGTTATTTACCTAGAGGACTAGGGATCAATTATCCCACTTAATACTTCCTCTTCTCTCACTCTTTTTAATGGTACATATATATTATAAAAATTCTAGATCCGTCTCTAAGTAGACTATGTAGGCTTTTATGACCACCCATTGATCCCGCGCGTCCATGTAAATCTAAAGTTTCTTGCTATGATTGTAAAATATATGTGCATTGGATGTGAGTCTAAGCAGCTACCTTATTTATTTTGGCCTTCCTGTTTTGCTACTCTCTACGATAGGGTCTTCCAAAGATTAAAGTAAATTATAGAGTAGCTACGCACATGTATGCGTAGGTGTAGGGAGTTTTATTAGCCACATATTCTCGATATCTATAATGGACTTTTTTCAACTTCATATTCAAAATTTTAGAAATGAAGGAAAGCTTTGGAGCGACGATAAAGTTATTTTATATGACCTATAGGTTAGGGTTAGAACCGTGAAAATAGCAATTAATACTTGCATTAGGGTAGCAAACTATCTACGTGACTATGTTACACCCTTAGGGTGCGGCTCTTTCCAGGACCCCGCGTAAATAGGGATGCTTTTGTATACCGGATTGCCCTTTTAATTCAGAATTTTGATATAAGGGTTGTATCCACATTATGTCAAGTTTACGTAAACCAATTTTGTCTTCATTAGAGGTGAGATAAGAGAATGAAGTTAGCAAGAAATGAACAAAATGAACATGGATGGCTCGACTACAAGGCTAGTAAAGCAATCGCTTGGGGCCCAATTTTTTGGGGGTCCTGTTTTACCTTAAAGATGTATTGTATATGTATTATTAAAACAAATTGTGTGTACATTTAAGTCTAAAAAGAATTTCTGGAGCGAAAATACAATATCTTTAATTTGAGAATCATTGTAATAATTAGAGAATGGAATAATTTGGGTAGATTAGCTATTTCTTTTGCCTCATTTTATATTCAAACAACTAATACGGGCCCACATTGTTATTTATATATTTATCGTTTTCTTTCTCTCTTTTACTATTCTTATTCTCAATATTGAAAAGTCTCTCAATCGGCAACTTACCGCGGCTTACAAGTAGTCTTCTTCTATCAAGCATTACAACAAGCAATCATTTTATTGAAGCAAGGCAATTCTTTTCGATACTATTATATCAATTTATATTGCTTTATAGTTTCTTACCCTTTGATTTCTGCTACTATCTATTGTTTCTTGTACTTCGATTATATTATTTATTTGTGATAGATACTGTTCCTTTTTAGATTGCTTTAGTATGACTTATTCGATTTCGTTACATTCACTTACTACATTGAATTGATTGTCCTTATCGGACTCTTTTTTCGTTATACTTTTTCTTGAGCCGAGGGTCTCTCGAAACAACATTTCTACCTTCCAAGGTACAGGTAAGGTATGCGTACAATCTACTTCCCTAGACCTCACTTTGTGGGTTCTCACTGGGTATGTTTTTGTTGTATATCAACTTATCAAATTCTTGAGCCAAATTTATTATTCTATATTTATTTTATATTTTTTCATTGAAAATTAGTCGTTGATAATCTTACCTAGAGTCTTTCTCTTAAATTTGATTTTAGGCCCCAATCTTGTTGAGACGGCCTGTAAATATGAAACATCAAAGTAACTTCAATAATGACTTATTTGAGATTACAACATCATAGTAGTATGTGTTATATATCCTGTCAAGATAGGGAAATTCCATGTGCGTTAGGGAAACATAATAATTGGTCCACGTTTACTAAATTCCTTAATTGGTCACTCTATAATAGTAGGTATATGGCGGCAAAAAGGAAAGGAAAAGAAGCTTTTTAGTCATGTGGTCAAAGATTGACTCTTGTATGAAAAGGGGTCTTTTTTGTCTTAGCAAAATCAACCAACCTGTACCGAGAGAGACTGAAAATTAGACTTAGACAAGACCTTTGTGGGGACATTTTTGGCCTTAAATTGAGAAAGATAAAACTTTAATTATGTGCCTGCCCCAATTGAGCTACTACGTACTTTTGAATTAGAAGACCACTTAATTACATAAAGGTGGAAAGTGGAGGGAATTATAGAGAGACTCCATAAAAGTAATTTAGGATCAATTAACAAATATAGTCAGGTAAAGTCAAAATATATAACCTTTCAGCATAATTATTAGAAATGTATGTAGGAACAATCATTTTGTGCCTTTGTGCTTTTGAGTTCGTTAGAAACTCAACTTCATTAATTGTGGTTTATGGTTTATGCTGAAGAATCTTGTGGTAAAGGAATAAAATTTCAACTGTTTTAAGCAGGAAATTTTGACACGAAATCAACTGACTTAATACGAAGAGGGTAATGCATTGATATGTGCATGAGCAGTAAAAACATGTGCTGCTAATTATAGACAAAGGTATGTTTTAGTTTATTTGGTGATCATTCTTGCTATGACTAGTGGATGTCCTAGAGCAGGAGGATGAATAAATGAAGGGTTAGAAAAAGACTGGTCATTGGTCAAAGGATACACACACTAAATAGAATGTGATAAAGATGATTGAGATACTTGTTATCTCATACTAGGTGTAACGAGCACCGTCCGAATTAATCAAGTCAATATATTTATTTTTACAAAATACAAGTTCAGCCGCTGATACTTGCATCAAGGCAGATTGCCTACATTAGATTTTCTTGGAGTGCGGTTCTTCTCCGGATCCTGCATGAAATGCGGGATACTTTGTGCATCGGGGCGGGTTCCCTTTTTGTACAAGTTCATGCAGTTCTAGACTATGTCCGTACTAACTCTGGGAGATTAAAAAGCTTTTGACATAACTTCTCTTTATGTGGCTTTAAGATGATTGAAAACAAATACACTTCACTTTCAGTAATGAGAAATTTTCACAAACCACTATTGTTCAGTAGTTATTAGCTAGCTGTAGCTATTATTTACTGAATTACTTCTTATAGCTATCTTTTTAGTTGTTATAGAGTGTATTCGTATGTATTTAAGCTATTGTATTCATGAATCAGTAGCAAAGGTCGGCGTGAAACAAGGGAGTCCAGCTAAGCAACGATTGTATTCGACTGTATTCGTGAGGTATTCGTGAATACAGTAACGTAAACTGCGTAAAAATGGTCTTTTCAGTTGTTTAAAAACGGTAAGTAAATCAATTAACGCGATAGACTCCTAATATAATTCAACTAACTCAATTATAACACGCAGAATCTGTATTTCCCGTTGTAGAAAAGATTTTCCAACCGAAAAATACCGCAAAACAGAGGAATCTCTAGAGTTTCAATCCCTCCTTTTTTTGTTGCTATCGTTAGTGGAAGTTCTGTTGGTGCATGATGATTTCTTTTTAGAACAGTTAGTAAACATATAATTTAGTAAGCTACTGAATACATACTGCATTTATATTTTGAATAAATATGAATACACACAGGTGCAGTTATATCTGAATACATAATTACAATCTGCTGAATACATATGAATATAAAATGCATTACACATACAATACAATCTGAATATATGCGAATATATGTGAATACCAAAAGGCAGAGCACATACAGTACAATCTCCCGAATATATGTGAATACATAATGCTTAATATACAGTGGAATACATATGAATACATACTGCAGATATACCTGAATACATATATATAATATGCTGAATACAAACTGTAGAATATAATTTATAATTTTTAAGTCTGGTCAAAATCAGAAGGAAACTGAGACTTTGCTGGAGAACTGTTAGTGACTCTTGTTGATGCAAGGAAACTCTCTTATATCATCTATGGTATGAATTTGTTCATCTATCATCGGTGGCATGAATCTTTCCTAGTTCTGATTTTTGCTTCTTTACACTAAAAACCTGTCAGTTCGTTTCTTCATATCCTTTTAATAGTAAAAAAATGTTGTGTACATATTCTAATCTGGTGAAAGAAAAAAGAAAGAAGGTATTTGTTTGAAAATCAGTCGAAGAAAGAAGGTATTCTAATTTGTTTGAAACTTGAAAGAGAATGGAGATGAATCAGTTAATAATGGTGGTTGTATTCGTGGGGAAGATACTGGGTTGGGAGAGAGATAGTGGAGAGAGAACGCGGGTTTAACAAAATTGTATACAATACCGGTGTTATTGGGAGAGAGAGAATAGAAAGTATGAGAGAGAAAAATATTTCACAGCATATTTAATGGCTTAACAGTAGGAAGTGGCCATAAATACACAATTTGCTATAAAACCTAAAAGGTAGCTATAGAATATAATTTTATAAAAAGGTATTTATTTATAATAAATAAGGTGTAAAAGTTTATTATAGGAGGTAAAAATTCCTTCAATAATCGGAGGTAATAGGTCATGGGCCGGCGGGCACAATGCTAGTTTATTAAGTTTGGGAATTATGCCAGACTAATGCTACGAGCTTCTGGAATCCACTAAAATCTTCGTAAAGTCGATCATTACGAATGTTACATTCCTTTACTATTAACACCTTCTATAAGTATATTGTCAAACTTATAAGTAGGTAAATCTCAAAATCTATGTAGGATATGATTAAACCATATCCATCCATCTTAACAATTATCTTTTAGAAAATGGTAAAACTCAATATAGCCATTTACACCAGGCAATCTGCTTTATACAAAAATTGGAAGCATAGGCCTTTCATCCTACAACTTTATTTCACTGCAACCTTTGTCTCTTTCCCAGGACAAAACTGTTCATATTTGAACCAGAAGACATCAAACTCTGATTTTCCAAACAGGAAACAGAACCAGAGTTAGCAAAGTTTAGCATAGATGTTGACAACATCTGTTGAGAACCATATGACATCTGAGAACACAATGATCTTGAAACAGAACAGCTCAAATTTGCAATCTCAGCTTCAAACCCTTTAATTGAAACTGGTGGAATATTAAATGACTTAAGCTGAGGCGGATTTCGCCATTGTGGAAGTTGTCCTGAAACTAAAAGTGTTTGCAAAAGTGGCCCAGCTTCAATAACAGACTTCAATAGTTTCCCTTTCTGTGGCAAAGTTTTCCCCTTTACAAGATTGTCAATAACCAACGTAGCCTCATCAACTGTTGGGACACAATTGTCCGAGAATCGAACGTTACAATCATAGGCTAATGCATTTGAATCAGCCATGTTGTTGTTGGAAAATTCAGGGGATGAAACTGCATCAAGAAATGACTCGACCGGGGATGAATTGTGTGACTGGTAATTGTTTGATTCAGTTATGCTTGAATTTTCATTTGTAGCCTTTACAAGAGGACTGTCAACTTGAACATGAGAAAGTTTGTTGAGTATTTTCTGAAGTTGATCTTTTGCTTCATCTCTTTCTTGACAAGCCATATTTAGTAGTTGGATTATTTCCTTCACACATTCTTTGTTCTTCCTCATTTCTTCACTTTTCTCCAGCTTCAATTGTTCAAGTTCAAGATTAGTGTACATAAGCTTCTGCCTCGTTTCATCTATGTTCTGCAATATTTGATAAAAAAACTCAATTCAGAGAAAAGTCTTCAAATATTGAATTATATTAACAAAAAATAGTCTTTAGGCATGCCACTCAAGAAAATAGGTATTGCACAACTTTAAGCAAACAAAAACTACGCTAAAAAAGGTAGCCTAGTGCCATAAGCTCCCGCTATGCGCAGGATTCGAGGAAGGGCCGGACTAAAAGGGTCTAGTGTACGCAGCCTTAACTTGCATTTCTGCAAGAGTTTGTTTTCACAGCTTGTACCGTGATCTCTTCATCACATGGCATCAACTTTATCAGTTACACTAATGCTACCGTTCAAAAACTACAGTAAGTGTAACGTAAAAAATCATTGACTGTTATATAAGGTGGAATTATAGGAAAAAACAATGATATTCAGTAAATACAATGTAAAGGGATATCTTAAGAAAGAAAGGTTTAGTTCAGAAGTGAAAGTCTATAAACAGAATGAATGGTACTCAGAGGAAATGAAGTGAAAACATGAATAAACAAGAAAATGAAGTACTACACACCTCTTGATAACTCCATAAAGAAGCCATTTCTTCCATTTTCTCTCTTAGTCAAGAAGAGATGGGAAATAGAGAAATGAAATATTGAAAAATCTTTTTGAGGGGAAAGGGTTTTTTTTATGGGAGATGGATTGTAAGTCTTATATATATATAGAAGGAAGCTACCCAAAAAAGACCAAAAAAGACCAAAAAAAAAAAAAAAAAAAATCTGTGGTACAAATGAACCAATCCCATCATGGAAATAAAAGTTAATTATGGAATCTTAACGACCTTCCAATAATAAAGAAAAATCCAATAAATAAAATTATTGTTGACATTTAAAAATAATAAATTGAATTTCACCATAATATGGTGGATACCGCCAAAATTCGTGAATGATGATTGATTATAAGTCATGTTTGAAAAGGAGAAGTGGCGGATCCAAACACATTTTAAAAGAAAAGGGAATTTAAGGCACCGTCTAATAAATGAAATTTAAAAAAAAAAGAGTGAAGTCTAGAAAAAGAAAATTTAGTAGGCATTTGGACATAAAAATTACTCCCTCTATTTCAATTTAGATGACAAGCTTTTCTTATTAGTTCGTTCAAAAAAGAATGATACATTTCAACAATTGAAAATAATTCAACTTTAAACTCTTCATTTTACTCATTTAATCCTTAATGAGAAGCTTTTATAATAACACAAATGTCATGGCCCCACAAAGCTATTACCCCTTAAGTTTTTAAGACCACAAGTTTTAAAAGCCTTTTTTTCTTAAACTCCGTACCGAATCAAACTACCTCATCTAAATTAAAACGGAGGGAGTATAATGTTTGAAAAAAAGTAGTATTTGGAGTTAAGTTGAAAATTGATATTTGAAATTTGAAATTATATTTGAACATGCACTTCACTTGAAAAAAATGTTCCAGTTTTGTGAGTGTGGATTTCTATTTTTCTGAAAATTTAAAAAATTTACAAAAACTTACAAAATTTCGTGGACAAACACATCTTAAAATAATTTGGAAAAAAAAGAAAATTTTTCTTATGGACAAAGGGGGCTTATACTACTGCTATATACAAGCGGCAAAAACTCGTGGCAAAAATTAAATATGGATAAGAATTTAATGTCTCATTGGTGCCAATGCCATTCATTCAAGCGCATTAATTTCTCGAGCACTTTCCCATGGTGTAAATTTTTGATTGGTAGCTTCGGCGAAATTCATGGTCGCATTGATTTAGCTCTTTCCTAAACTTTTTTTAGGGGAAAAAAACTTTAATTTTATACACCTTTTCGATTTACCAACCAAGACATGACGTTCTATAATACTAGCTCTCTTTGGTCCTATTTAATTGTCATATTAGCCTTTTAACCCCCCACCCCACCCTACCCCACCCCAAAGAAAAAGGTTAATATTAGAAGGACAGCTCGGTGCATAAGTATATCACGTTCAGGCAGGATCCGAGGAAGGATCACATTCCAAGGGGGTGCGATGTAGGCAGTCCTATTCTGATGAAAGTATCACTGGCTGATTTTACGGATCGAATGCATGACCTTTTGGTCACACGGAGACAACTTGATCGTTGTTCCAAGGCTCCACTTCATTAATAATAAGAGTTATCTAATTAGTTTACCCTAATTACTCTTTCATCTTTTAATATATTAATCTTCCTCCAATTGTTTCATCACCTCCATTTTATTTTTCCTATTGAAATAATCTTTCTAGGGGGCTGGGGCTGCGTGTGAACTGCCCAAGATAACTGAAATGAACCGAAATGCTGTTGACTTGTGTACAAATAAGTGTAGTATTATCTAAATTATATTTCACTTTGACAAATTTTTCACAAATCTCCATACAACTGGCACACGGTTTTATGCGGTGAGCACTGTCATTAAATTAATTATTAGGAGCTTATGAGGGTTAAAATAAACGGAAGAGAAAGACAAAGGCCCAAGTTTTATGTAATTATCTCGAATAGAATAGCATGAAAATTGAAACATATAAACACTTCAATTAAATTAAATTAAATAAAAAACAGGATACAGATAAAGCCAGGTTCTGACAAAGACGATGAACATGGATTAGGTATTCCTAAAACAAAAGGTCGGTATATTTCTTTCTTTATCCCCGACAAGCTGTTCCTGCACTCACGTATATTTTCAATAAGTCTTATGTAATATTGGCATATATAGATTTAAGTTATAGTGTATATACACACGGTTTGTGCATGGGTGGCTCGAATATAAGGGGGTGAAATTCAAAAATAGCCAGATTTATAACTGGTCGTTCAAAAATAGCGCCCAGTTTCAAAAGTAATCCAAATTTAGCTACTTTTCTTGTAAAGATAAATCTGAGCGAAAACACCGTTCAAAACCCGGAAAAATACGCCAGTATATTATGCTGGAGTTCCGGCATAAGTATACTTGAATATTATACTGGAGTTCCAGGATAAGTATGCAGGAACCAGGGGCGGATTTAGGGGAGCGCAAGGGTGTTCACCCGAACACCCTTCGCCGAAAAATTACACTGTATATATAAGGCAAAATCTATTTTTTACCTCTATATATTAAGTTTTGAACACCCTTAACACAATCCAAAAGTTTATTTTAGTGGTCAAGGGGGTTCAAAATTTACATAAGGTCATGGGTTCAATTCCCACTAGCTACAAAAAAATTTTTTTGAACCGGTCCATCATAAAATACTGGAGTTTGGAGCACCGGTGCTCCAGTCTCCAGTATATTATACTGGAACCAGTCCGAAAACTAGCTATACCGTGCTATTTTGCCAATATAAGGCCAGTAAAGCAATCGTTTCGGGCCCAAACTTTTTGGCAGCCTCATTTTTTCCTTACAGATGCATTGTATATGTATTACCAAAAAAAGTGTGTATATTTAAATTTAAAAAGAATTTTTGGAGCGAAAGTACAATAACTTGGATGTGATGATCGTTGTAATAATTAGAGAATGGAATAATATTTAATAAATTGTTTCCTTACATGCGTAGGGTAATTTTTTTTTTGGCCTCAACGCATGCCACATTATTATTTACATATTTATCTTTTTCATTCTCTCTTTTAATGTTTTTATTCTCAATATTGAAAAGTCCCTCAATTGACAACTAACCATGGCTTACAAATTGTCTTCTTCAATTTATTACAACAAACAATCATTATATTGAAGCAATACAACACTTTCCGATATCATTATAGTATCAACTTGTCTTGTTGTATAGTTTCTTACACTTTGATTCATGCTACTATCTATTGTTTCTTGTACGCCAATTATCTTATTTATCTGTTATAGTTATTGCTCCTTTTTAGACTGCTTTATCATGACTTGATTATTCACTTTCATTACTTTCATTTACATACTGCATTGAATTGTTTGTCCTTATCTGACCTTTTTTTGTGTCATGCTTTCTCTTGAGCCAGGGTCTTTCGAAAACAGCCTCTTTATCCAAGGCAGAGGTAAGATATTCATACACTCTACTTCTCCAGACCCCACTTTGTAGGTTTTCATTGGGTATAATGTTGTTGTATAGTAACTTAATAAATTCTTGAGTCGGTTTTATTATTCTACCTTTATTTTATATTTTTTACTGAAAATTTATCATTAATATTCTTACTTAGGACCTCTCTTTCATATTTGGTTTTAGGTCCCCAATCTTGTTAAGACGATCCTGGGTTTGTGTATAAAATTTTGATGCTATTAATAACGTTAACTTGTTATAATATATCTTATATCTATTTTCTTTTTAGGTTACCAAATTTAACATGCTATATGCACGTACTTGTTATTGTAGGCTGATTAATAAGAAAACTATACAGTGTGATGCACATTACTTAAACTCAATAGTGATTTATGTTACATTCCAGATTGGAGTAATTTTTGTTAGTATTATTCCTCTTTAGTCGTTATACTCTAATTTGATAATGCAAAGAATAAAGAACTTCTAATCCACAATTAATCTGTGGTTAATTCTCATTCCTCTCCATCGTTAATTTTTGTAACATATCTAGATTGAAATATATCCAGAATGAGAGAATGAAGTTACTACTTCATAAATGATTCACATTCATTCATATGACAGTTTCTTAATTTTTGTGACTTCGTTTGTGAAAAGATATTAGTTTTTCAGAAAGTTTGAAGTTACTGTCTTTATGACAATTTTGTCATTAAAATAAAATAATGTTACATAACATTAACTCCCATTTGATTCTTACTTTTTTCTGATGGAAGAAACCGTAGATGATTTGCCTATATAAGTATCATCATTTGTGAACTAAATAACCAACCAAAAATATTATTCTCTCATCCTCACAAAAGACTATTATATTCTTCTTCCTATTTTTCCTGGACAATTCCTTTTTGCAAACTCCAAACTTTCAGCCACGAGTGCACGTGTTTGGAAGTACAGTGGAACCTTGGGGAGTGACAGTCTTAACGATTTGCACCCAGTCGGACTGAAATCGCTTTTAAGGCAGTGGCTTCCCACAATACAGTATTTATTCAATAAGTTATTTCTATTCTTTTTATTGTTCTTGGTCAATGTTATCAACTATTTTTTCTAACAATTTTAACACCGGCATTATTAATAAGAGTTTAACTATATCGATCATTCAATGGTGTAAAGATTTTAACATGATCGATTACATATTTTCAAAGGTATAAATTTCAATATTTCTGCAAAGTTATGTGCTTAATACTATAATGTTTCTATGCCACTATCAATGTAAACTACTTGAACAAACCCATATAATATTAAGTCGCGCCGCTGGATTTCTCCATTTTACGTCCTCAGTTTTGTATTATCCTCCTAATCCTCCTTTAAATAGTTCATTTCTGTAGTTGCATGGTAGTGTTACGAGACATGGCACTATGACAAGCCGTTGGAGCTCTAACACGTGGAATTTATCTGTTTGTTTGATTCTTTTTCTTGTGGTTTTACACAGTGGCGGATCTACATTAGCTTTTGTGGGTGCTTAAGCACCCATTACCTTTAATCATATGTAGTAAATTTGCATAGGCGATTATAAAAATATGTAGATAAATATAGAGTGAGCACCCACGATTAAATTTATTTTTTCTCTTCTTTTGAAAATTGTATCAGTTAGCACCCATAACTTTAAAATCCTGAATCCGCCACTGGTTTTACACCATTGGCTAAGAAGCAGACAAAATTACTTGTATTTAATACTACTAAAGGACAAAGCTGCTTGGTTTTTTTATTGGTTCATTTTCATGCAATGAATCTAGCAGGTCTCTACCTGAATAATTAAAATGGCATACACACACATCAAATAATTATTTATTGCAGCAATTATTATTCACTCATTGCCTAGGTTTTCTTGAAAAGTTCACATTATTAAACCAATTTATGTGATCCAAAAGCTCAAGAGCAGTTACATTATTTAAAACAAAGTTCAGTTCCTTAGCCTTATTTTGGTTAATTGTTCAGGTTTCGACAACACTTGGACGAAGTACTAATAGCATTATAAGGGGTCGTTTGGTTGGAATATGATTTATACCGGTGTAAGTTATGCCGGTATAAGTTTATGCTGGGATAAGTTATGCTGGGATTGTTGTTTATTCATTGTTTGGTATGTTGTATAAAGAATGACAATTGCATAATTTCTAAGAAGAAGGTATAAGTTATACCGGTGTTAATTATCCCACCTTTTATAAGGTATAAGTTATCCCAGTGTTAAAATTAACACCGGAATAACTTATACCTGGTTTACTAACCAAACAAAGTATTAAGGTGGTATTAAATTTTTATACCACCCTTATACCTTCTTATACATCATACCAAATTGTTTATTTGACCAAGTTTTTGAGAAATCAATTTTTTTTCTTTCAATTTTCACATTTTCAAAATCAGAAAGTCCAAAAAAAAGCAAATGGAACGCAAAAATAGATACTGAGTAGTTGTACACACATGCATGAACATGTACAAAAATACCATAACCTGAAATAAAGTTTGGAGTAGTTCCAAATGAAGCCATAGATAATGGCTAAGTGCCTAACCTATATACTAGTCGTTTTTCATTTTTATATTAACCTACATATATATTTTCTAGTCTATGATGAAAAGTTGGGGGTAGAGCAATCATTTTAAAGTTGTTTATAAAAGTTTCTTTTTTGAGCCCACCGTAGCAATGGTCAGGAACAGCAGAGGCTTTATTTATTTGAAAAAACAGACATTGTATAGTCATTTTCAAAATAATAACTGAAAAAAATAATTTTTTTGTATTATATATATAAGCAAAATATATAAATTTTATACACTTTTGAGGCTAAACGGATATAAATAATTTCAATCACGGGCTAAAAGTGATATTTGCCCTATTTAATTTGCAAATATAAAAGTGCTCCTATTTTTTAACATTCTTTTTAGTATTCTAACGGGTAACGACTTTACCTGTGTACTTAATGGTGCGGCGATTAAAATATATACTTCTCGGCAAAAAAATACAATTAATTTTAGCTGACCGATCAATTTTGTATTTTGCCCCGGGTTCTGAAGTCTGTGCATTGAATGTAAGTCGGAGGAGTTTCCATTTTATCGTCTGCTAGTCTTAGATATAGGGCCTCTAAAGTAAGGGTGTCTACTGGGCTTGGATGGGTTGGCCCGTGCCACTAAGAACGAGCATGCCATCCTTAATGGGCTGGGCTCTATCCATTAAGGTTATATTCAGGCTAGGTAGGTGAAAATAGCACGGGCTAGCAAGTTTTCAAACCGGTAATTGAAAAATAATCAACGTTTGCAAATTCATTGAAAAATAGCCATTGTTTTGCTGAAAGACGAAAATTTCTAGCATAATATGCTGGATTATGGAGCTCCTGCATATAAATTTCCAGCATACGGAAAGTTCCAACATAATATGTTGGATCATGGAGCTCCTGCATATAAACTTCCGGCATATTATGATGGAACTCCAACACATTATGCTGGAATTCCATATGTAAAAAATTCGAACTCCAGCATATTATGTGGTATTTCTCCAGATTTTAAGGGTGCTTTTTGTTCTGATTTTATCTTTACATAAAAAAATGGCTAAATTTCGATTATATTTTGAAACTGTGGCTATTATCAATTATCAATTGTAAATCCGGCTATTTTTGATTTTTTCCCACTAGGTAGACCACAAGTTGACGCATCTAATTTTTGTTCTTGATGATTTGACATAATAGTTCGAGGAAGATGATATTATTGATAATAGTCTTCATCTTAAAGTATTTCGGTTCAAACATAGTTAGAGCATCTTTGACTGTTCAATAATTAATAAAGACAATGTAACATTCACAATTATCATTTATCACAGCAGCAGCACCCACCACCTTCCTGTCTTTTAAAAAATATATGCACTAAACTTGTAGTAATTCTTTCCCCATTCAGAAATACAAGTTATAATTGGAATTTCACCAGCAGAAAGTCAAAGGTGTCAAATGCTAGGAATTTAACTTCTCATGGTGTACTTGACATCCTCTATCCAATCTCTACATGCAATTGAAAATAGAAGTAATAGAAATAAAAATTTGGATTCTCATATCTTCTTTGTCTTCTGATGTTTACCAAGTTTTGAGCGCCGTTGCTTAAACAAGTGCAGATAAAGGTTGAGCCATAGAAAAGGGTAGACCAGAAGCAGAACCTGAAGTTGAAAGAAAAATGATAAGTACTGCTTATGTCTACAACAAAATAATGAAGTAATATGTATTTCTTTTGGGGAATAAATAAGAATCATTCTAATTATGTGCCTAAGGGGCAGCACGGTGCAATAAGCTTCTGCTATGCACGGGATCCAGCGAAGGGCCGGACCATAAGGGTTTATTGTACGCAGCCTTACCTTGCATTTCTGCAAGAGGCTGTTTCAGCGGGTTGAACCCGTGACCTCCTGGTTACATGGCAACAACTTTACCAGTTACGCCAAGGCTCTAACTTCATTCATGCGCCTAAGATGATGCCCAAAACATTTACAAAGGTTCAGCATTTTGCATAAGGAAGTTCAACCCGGTTATCTATACAAGCAGGAAAACTCTATAGGTGTTACTCAAACCAACCCCGGCATAAGATTCACATGAATGATACAGCAACATCAGCTACAAAGAATGATCTACTCACGGCATTGGTACATAGGATTTGAAGTCAAGTTGCTTTTCTTTATTTTAAAAGTTTTATACAGAGTAAGCGCCAAGGATTCGCCTCAAGAAATGGAGAGAATCTGATGCAAAAGTAAAGCTGAAGGAGGTTGGTATGGTGGCGAAAGACAAAGTAAGCTTTTGTCATTAAAGATGTTTTTTCTATACGTTGCAAAACTATGGCATATCGAGATATGAACAGCAGAGCAACTAAAGATCGTTGCAGCTAAAAAGTATATGACAACACTCAGTAAAATCGAATAGATTGGATTCCGAACTCATTTGCTTTAAGTTATTATCAGGTCCTCAATTTTCGAAGTAACGACAAGCCTAATGCTCAGAGAACAACAAAACTTTTTCCTTTTGAATTGAAGAGAACAAAATAGACCGCTGCATCTAGGTTTCAGCAAAAATTGATCTTTATTTCAGGATATCAGAACGTACCTTAACGAAGTTACAATAACTGAAAGGGAGACTATCTGCATACAAGTTTCTCTTTTTTATGAACGGAAGTGCTTGGTACATAAGCCACACTGCATAGAAACGAAGTCCAAGCTTTTCAGATTTTGCACATACTAGATGACAATAAACAAATGGAATGATATAAAACACTATGAATGCGATACATTATTTCTAACAAACTTGTGAACTTACTTTCACCAGGTCCTATTCCAACGGGATACAGTAGAATGAAAGCAGTGTACCTAACGGCAAAAAAAGAAATTCAGAACCAAGTGAATCTCCCAATAATATACTCTCTCCTGAGTAACTAGATGAATTATTTTCTGCAAGAGAATCAAACCTGAGGTAAGTGATAAAGTACGGTGGACTTCCAATGCAACTCAAAGCATAATGTGAGTATCTGATCACCTGCGTCGAGGAAGAGGATCATATAATTGTTTAATGCTTAGAATCACATTTGAGCTCGAAATTTTTAGGTGTCAAGTAACCTAAATAACATTCATGTTTTAGTCACTTTTTCACGTTTCCGTATAAGCTACCTTAGGATGCTTTTGCCCAAAGGTAAGGTTTAGCATATGAATTTCAATAAACTTCCCTTATAAGTACCTCTTATACTTTTACTGAAAAATACATTTTTGTGCACTAAAATACAGCAACTTAATATGGGATAAAGTGGACAAAGTTTCTTCAGATCACATGCTATTTTGGTAACCAAATGCATCGAAAGATATTAAGAAGAGTCATGTTTATCACAATGCAGTGCAAACTCCGATCGACCACTAAGCCGCCAACTTGGTACTCTATAACTTGTAGGTTAGCTATAGGAGTGAAGACTAAAGCTAAAAACAGCGAGCCTTCATTATCAGATATGAAAAATGTTATAGCATTGTTAGGTCTCTGGTCTAATAACAAAGTGATAACCTCTAAAAACTTCAAGATTTCTCTGAAAATTTATTTTTATTTTTCTATTCTATTACCAATTTTCTTGGGTCAGAATTTAGAATGTAAACTTAAGAGTTATTTCTTAATAACTCGTGCAATGGTCTACTGGTAACAGCCTCTCTTCATTCACTGTAGGGTTAAGGTCAGCATACTATCTATCCTCCCTAGACCCAACTTGTGAGACTTACTATACTGAGTTAGTTGTTGTTGTTGTAAACATAAGAGCTATTTCATATACTAAATGTAGCCTGAAATCTTCGGCCCACTCCATATATATCTACAACAATTAATTGATGTGGTCCATCATATTCATATCAAGCATAAATTCAGTTTCCTGGTAGTCCACTCTGTGTGCTCACTTTTGTCAAAACTCGAAAGTCCACAGGGCAAGCTGCTCTTTACCACAGTACAAACAAATTTTTCCTCTTTCTGCCACTCCTTTCAATAGGAGTAAGTTCTAAAGTTTTCGCATGCGGGGTAGGTTTGACACTTAGTCCTTCCTCAAGACGGTTTAAGATTCTAAATATACGAATCGACCAAATTAAAAAGATGGGAAAATGCAGGGAAAAAGTGTGAGTAACATGTAAGGAAAACAAAGAGAGGAAAACTAACTCACCTCACTTAAGCTCCAAGCTAAAAATGTCATGAACACGGAAGGCGATTCTTGGACCTGCAAGTAGTAAAACGGACCATAAATACTTCACCTTCAAGTTCTTTGTGTTCACTCCAAATTGTACACAGACCAGAAACCAGGACAACAGAAAGACTCCATATCTTTATTAAGCTTCCAAAAATCTTGTTATTGCACCAATAATTAGTTCCATGATGATACTATTTAAAGAGTTTAAGTTATATACATCATTAGTGTAAAGAATCTTTTACACCATCAGATAGTCCAATCAGGTAAGCCTCCTTAAATTGTGGGATTTGTAATGTCGAAAATAAGACATGTTGTCCGCTACAACAGGTAAAAGTGATCTAATGGTGTAAAAATTTCTTATACTGGCTATGTATACAACTTAAACTCCTATTTGAAAAATGCATATGATTTTACTATTTTTAGTAACTAGTGCATAAAAGTATGTGTGATTCGATTAGAAAGAAGTAAAACCTCAACAATTCGACGAACAATTGCAAGCAAAAAATGAGTTCTTCCACTCCATTGCATCAAAGGAAGCACTGCTCCACTAGGAACAATCCCTTAATATAACCCAAAAAAGAAAGTAAGCAGAATATGAACTTTGCTACTTTTACAATACTGTCAAATAAAAAACCCATTAAAGTACTTTACCTATAGCTCCATGTACAACTTCCAAGAATGCACAACATTGCAACAAACCTTTAACACAAAGATCACATTTTTACTCAAACATATCATCAAAATCATCAAAAGAAGAGAAATTTTTAACCCAAAAAAAAAAAAAAAATGGAACTCACAAATTAGTTCACCAGCAGAAGCATAAGTCCCAGTGACTGACTGAGTGGAAATAAAGTTGCTCAAAATTCTGAAAAGCGCTACTGTCCTACATTTTGCATGTATAATTGTATATACAATATTAAAAACATTCTGCAATTGTAATATTAAGGGTGTGGGGAGGGGGGGAGTGAAAAGAAATTTACCATCCAAGAAACTGAAGAGAATTGTAAGAGAAGAGATAAAGATTCTTCAGTTTAGCCATTGGAGACCACTTGTGTACTTCTGTAGAAGTTACTATTTATAGGTTTTCAGTTATGCCTATTGCCTAGTTCTCAGCCATTTTTACTCGGGTAGTAAAAGCTTCAAATTTTTCTTCAACAGCAATTAATATTACAAGAAAATGAGATCACAAATGTATGGTCTTAAGTTCTTGGAAGTTTGGACCAGTACCACTTATGGTCTTGGTTCCCAGCCCATAATGGACCTTTTGGGGTAAAAATAGCACGGAATAGCCAGTTTCGGATTGGTTATTAAAAAATAGTCAGCATTTGTAAAGTCATTGAAAAATAGCCACTATTTTGTTGCAACACGGAAAATTCCAGCATAATATACTGGAGATCGGTGCACCTGTGTATGAACTTCCAGCATATTATGCTGGAACTCCAACACGCGGAAAGTTCCAATATAATTTACTGGAGATTGGAGCACCGGTGCTCCAATCTCCAGTATATTATGCTGGACCTGTATATTATACTGGAACTCCAGTATATTATACTGGAGTATTTTTTCGGATTTTGAACAGTGTTTTCGTTTAGATTCATCTTTACTTGAAAAGTGGTTAAATTTTAATTACTTTTGAAATTATGGCTATTTTTGAATGACCACTTGTAAATCTGGCTATTTTTGATTTTCTCTCCCTCTTGGGGTACATTGGCTATGGGCCCAATATTAGGTGGATTTACAAAATTAGTAAGTTTTGTGGCTTTGTATTTAGAAGTTTGCCACTTTTTAACAATTAGACCAATGATCTGAAGTTTCAAATTCAAATCCAACATTCATGGAAAAATGATATTGTATAGTTGCTTCCAAAATAATAATCGAATATATATATACACATACAAAAAATATATAGATTTTAAATATTTTACGATTACCGAATGTAAATAGTTTCGACCGGAGTTAAAAGTGATCTTTGCCCATAATATCATGGGTTTAAATCTTAATAAGTGGCCACTTCCATATACAAAACCACAAGTGGCGACATAGTCTTCTAAAATCAGCTTATTTTGAAAAGTATTTTTTTAAAAGTGATTTTCAAAAAAGTACTTTTGGTGAGAAGCGGTTTATGTTTGGCGATTAATTTAAAAGGCACTTTTGAGCAGCAATTAGTGTTTGATCAAGCTTTTAAAATGTGTGCTTCTAAATGTATTTTTCTCAAAAGTGTTTTTCAAAAAATTGGCACTCTTTTTTTTTTCTTTCTAAAAGTTTGGTCGAACACCTTAACTTTATAAGTAATACTTTTGGTTAAAAAAAGCTTGGCCAAACAAGTTATTAATATTAGTACTATTCTTTTAAGTTTTAACACAAGGGACCTAATTCTAGATGAGTTGCGTTTTACTTCTGAAACTACGAGTAATATATGGATGGTTTTATTCCCTAAAATAGGATATGAGTATGTAACCTTTCATGAAATCCATCCTTAGTTTAACAAGGTGAAATAGGAACTCACACATTCTAGATTTAGGACTTTTAATATTGAGAAATTAGACATGTGAACTAATTCTACCTAACACTAATCTCTTTGCTTTATTGAATCATTTAAGGCTTGAAACATTAAAAGCAGTATAACGTTCAATTTAGAACGGCCCAAGAAAGAAAGTCAATGTAATTTGGTGACATGTTTGGTTGGTTGCCAAAATTGGATTGTTCATAATTAGGAGTAATTCCATATAAATTAAAATATATGTTCTCATTAGTTTGCATAGTTTCAGACCAACTAGAAAGGTTCTAGCTTCCATTGTTAAGTCGTTAATTTCCTTTGCCTTGTTTCACTAGCTCCATTGTGAGAACTAATCATGCCTTTATGCCTATCGCCGTAGAAGCTGTTTTTAGGAAAGATTATGGGCCTCGAGTATTCAATTAATTAATCCCACAAATCGGGGAAGCTTAAGCGGGAATGAAAGAGGAGGGTGAGGAAAGCCACTAAATTGAGGCTTCGCTCGCTCACTCTAACGCTCGTTTAGTGGACAGCGAGGGAGTGCATAAGCCCCTTTAAAGATAAGGGTAAGTACTATACGAGCTCGTAAGTAAAGTACGGAACAAATCGTGTCTACGAAGCAGAGCAACCTCATCTTGTTTGTTTCTGGCGAAGCTTCTAGATTGCCGATCTTGGATCAAAGTCAAACAGTACAATGATGATAAACTAGTACATAATACTAGTTGCAGTAGTACTATAGTCTTTACATTGACCCAAAGGGAAGCTAGCAAAAAGTGGCCATACTTTGCCACTTGTTCATTATTTGTTGTTTTCATTTCTTTACGATTCGGAAAGTTCATTTGTCTTGATATTACACTACATCTTTGCTATTGATTCCTAGCAAGGACTTTGCCTGCTATTCATTCCTAAATCCCTTTCACCCTTAACTAGCTAATTCGATGGGACGGCAACAGCGGGAATGCCAAATGCAAGACGTGGACTTGATCCAGAAGGAGATTGGCTGGGACGGGGAGCTCGGGCCCTCGAGAATCCGTGTACCGCCACGGGAGAGCATTCCTTGGAGAAACTCCATACCCTACTTTCGGATCTCGAATCGAGGGGAGTCAATTCCGAGTCCTTCTCTCAATTAAAAGGGAAGGTACCCCTGCCACCCGGACATTTGTTTCTTAAGTTCTATTATCATCACCATAACTTTTTGCAATAAAAGTAGTAAACACCTTTAGGAGACACTGCCTCCTAGTTGAGCAAAATACTGGTGCTCCTGTTACGTTAAAATCTTGGATACGCCTCTGATTTTGAGCACCTTATTCCACGGGTGCAACATAGATTATTAATTAGTAGGGATATCTAACAAAGATATAGCAGTCCAAAGAGTAGGAAATATGGTAGCAAGAAAGTATGGAATCTCCAAGGGTAGGGATTAAGATAGAGCTATGTGACACTATACCATATTGTTTGGAACTTTATTTATGAATATAGTACTCTCTAGTCAAACAGAATATGATACCAAAATCAAGAATTCAACAAGGAATTCGAGAAATATTGTTGTTGAACCAGGAAATAGAGGAGGAAATTAACAGTGTAAGTAAAAAGGGAATAAACCATGTTTTACTGTTGCTTAAAAAAAAGTGACTTTTCAGCAGTATTAGTATTTAAGCTAAAAAGCAATTACTAATAAATAATCTTTAGGTGATGACTCTATTTATATCTATCATATTTATATGAATCAGAATACAAATATAATTATGGAGACAAAAGTGTTTAAGGTTATATCTACTAGTAACCTAACATAGTCTAAAAACAATGCTCCATTCATAAAACCATCACAATTATTTGATAAGAAAACAAATGAAGAAGTGAGATAGCTCATAATTAACAAATACTACCTCCGATCCGCTTTAAGTTATTTTTAGGCTCTTTTCAAACATATTATTATTAACGAATTTATTTTTTAATATTAATTAACGATAAAATTGATTATATTAACCCTAGTTTGCTCATTGAAAATATAACAAACTACTCCTAGGCTCTTTACGTTAAGGACAATTTTGGAAAGAAGAATTAATTCATTCTTGATATTTTAAAAAATTAAATATTATGGATCATAAAACAAAGACTAAAAAATCAATTAATATAGACCGGAAGAAGTATTACATGAATAGGCTCACTATGTGCAATGATTCCCCCTTCAAAAAGCGATTGTTCTTTTTAAAACTTTTCTCGTATGACGTGTTTTTTTTTCCATAACTAATTTTTTCATTGATTGATTCTATAACTCTAACATAAATAAATTTACTATTCATTTTACGTCAAGTAATACATGGAATAATGTTATTATCTATTCACATTATCATCAAATATTCTGCTCAAATGTCAAGTCGAAAGCTCGTTACTACAACCTAGTCTTAGGTCTAATTGTTTCTTGCAGTAGGGTCACAAAAATAGTTCTTTTCATTTAATATGTTAGGCCACTGTTAAAAAAAATTAAATTATTCATAGATAATGTAAGAAAATTATAAAAATTACATAGTATAAATGCACAGAATTTAAAAATAAATTTATATTATATTCTCAGAAAAAGTAAGAAAATTATAAAATTTATAGAGTATCAATACATAGTATTTGGTAGCAGTGGTTTAAAAGTCGTGGACGTAAGGCGAGACGTATTATATATGCCTCAGCGAGGCATAAGCTCCGAGGCACGGGGCGTAAGCACTATAAGTATTTAATTTTTAATATTTCTTAAAATAATATAATCATAGTAATATTTTTAAATACGTAAAATTGCATAAAAATTGAAGACAACTATAAATAAGTGATATATATATATATACACACCTACAAAAAACTAGTCAAAACAATTCATTATACGCAGCTTACAAGCACAAGTAACTTGAGTTGAAAAGAATAAAGTTTTCTACGTGGAGAAACAAAAAGGATGACCTACCTGCAATTTGAACTTTGAACTTGCTGTTATGGAGGAGAATGAGTTTTCTTTGTATTTGCAAGGAAAAAAATTGATTGTTTGTTGCATTTGGGAGATAGTAGCAGACTAGTGTGTATGGGTCAGAATTCGACCCCACGATAATTAATGAGGCTAATCCCGTTTTAAGTTAATTCTTGATTAATTAGTGGCACGACCATTCAGAATTGACGATGTTCAGCCCGCATCTGGTTCGATCGACAAGGCCATGGCCTATCCGCCACCATAAAGGCGAGATCCCAACGTGGTCACGACCACTTATTGCCAGCTCACGAAGCTCACAGCTATAAATACCAAGAGAGGGAACCCTAGAAGGGGGGGGCTTCTTCGTGACCAATATTGAGAGAGAAAAAAGGGACAACAATACCCAAAATTATGGGCAAGAGGAACACCATTGTAAGGCTCTGAACCTCTCCATGGAGAGGCAGACCAAACCAATATTATCAATAAAGGTTTCTAATGTTTCTCCCCCTAATCCTGAGTATTAATTTTTGTTTCCTTCATTCGGTCCAACGGATTATTACGGTTTGCTATGATTTTTCCGTGATTTATTTATATTGTTTTATACTCATAAGATATGTGATAACTTTTGAGCAAACAATTTGGCGCCGTCTGTGGGGATTTCCTAGCAAAATCGCGTAGTTCTTCCCTGGACCAAAAGGAAAGAAGCGCCAAACTCGAAGGGGAACT